TGTAGATGTCGCTAACGTTGTCATAGCCCCCAAGCACCAGGCCTTCAATAAAAAGAAGATATATCATGAGAACAAAAGTGAACTAAAAGTTTCTAGCGGGAACGAAACAGCTTTGTATTAATTATGCTTTAACCCAGCCTGTAAACCGTAGGTGTAACATGTATTACATGGTCTTTAGCGACGAGCGGCGAGGTAAGTGCAGTATCTGCTGAATGGCGACTTGAGAGCCATTGCCGGAAATTAATTACCATCTAATTAACAGTATTCGTGTAATCTGTGGGGGAGGGCACGTACAATTAACACGTGTTAGCTACTGAGACTATTCAAAGCTAAAAATTTATGGATTGTCGCTTCAATTAATATAAGTTAAAAAATTCGCGCTAATGAGTTCAGAGAAATTCTAAACTGGGCAAATTTTATGACAGACCTTCAGACCATCATTTAGAAATCTATGAATTCAATTATTACAGCAAGATTGGTTATTCGTTGGCTTCAATTATGCACCCATGAATTGAATTTTTTCTTCCCAATATTACAATGTTCGCAGTTACGGTTCTTCATTCATGCTGAGTCAATCCCCTATTCTTTTCATTATATTCGCACTTATGTTCACTACGGAGATAGTGTGAGTAAAACATACCTTAAGTGGTTGCGAGTCCGAAGAACCAAAAGTACCTCGAATGAGATAATCATTTAAGGATATCGCTTACCATATGGACAGGAAAAAAAATCTTCTCGACAAGCGTCATATCTTCTCGACAAGCGACCGATTGAAAGCTAGTCAATGAAGCTTCTCAATTGGCAATGACTTTTTGTCGATTGTTAGAATTGAACATAATATAATGAGAGATCTAACATATATAGTTGTCATCAACTGGATCAAATTTCGTTGACATAAATTATTGGATTAATCAGTTCTTAAATTAAATTCAGCAACGTAGCCCACCCACATGCACTGGAGAAATTGAGTTCGAAGCTTCACGCTAGAAAATTGCTTGCTTGCATCCTTTAAGATATTACTTTCTAGCTACTATGCGCGTTTGGCGTCATTCGTTCCATGATTGCGAAAGGTAAAAATCTCTCTGCATTTTAATTACTTAGTGTCTCGAACTCCGCTATTCAGTTTCTTAAAATAGCTTACCCGCATCCGCGAATAAGATAACACGAGAGTTGACATTTTCAACCTCAGTCGATGTCGACAGGTGCAGAAGTTACATGTGCGCTATGCAATCACTTGTCAGCATCCGTATGACAGCATCAACATACGATGTGCTGCTGTCGCTTGCATTTATATCACTCAGCTTCAGCTTTCTTTCTTATCTCACAGAGACGGAAACCAGATAATGTAGGGAAAGAGAGTTCCGCTAATGTAGCTGTGATAAAGTCCCCATTGACATGCACTACGGCCGTATTCAAAGTTTTCACCGCAGTGTTGCCCGAGTTCACAGCACGAGTTCACAGCACGAGTTCACCGCACGAGTTTCTAGTTCTTCGCAAGAGTTGCTCCTGGATTTTGGTTTAACACGTTTAGTGCGGCACGATTCATCGTTGGGTTACTGTGTCTTTTTTTCCGGACAAAGTCCGCGATTCAGTTCTTTTTATTGCGTTGTCCGGCAAAAATTTGTGATTTTTGGTACTTCCTTATTAATTTTAAAAAATACGAATCAACGAAAAATTATTTTTTTTTTGCGCTGGAACCTACAAATTTACTCGTAAATATTGAATAAAAGGCTTTTTTTTGTCCGCTGACTTGGCCGCTTTTAGGCCATCTGGCATCAATGGTGGGTCGTGCTGCACTAAACGTGTAAACTGCTCCAAACTGGACTCGTTAGCTGCAATGAATGGGCGTAGTTGATTTACCCGATGTGATGATACTGTAGTTAAATTGTTGATAATTATTTTAGTTAGGAGTCAAATAAGATCGCACACGATTAGGCAACAGATCAAAATAGGCATGGAGCACATTAGACAATAGTCATCAAGTGAAAAATTTTCATTCATTTGAAAATTCTCATTGAAATTTTTAGCTACCTTTCTTGAGTGCGTTAAACTCACAATTATCAGACATGAATTATAAACATTTGCACCTGTCTGCATTTGTTTCTCCACCCTTCTGAATCGAAATACATATATGATCATAGGTCATACACTGTTAGAAAATAGAATTTTAATCAAAACCTCAAAATGCTAATCAACTCTCCATTTCCATATAATGCGTGCAACCTAGCCATTTAAATATATGGTCCTGCTGCTTCGGGAGGGGCAGGTTACTGGGCTAATCTTGCCACTAGACCAGTTTTTTGGTCAGAAAGAAAGCTCTGTTCAATTTAGTCGCAGCTCAAACTCTACAATGTGCGACATTTTTTGCGCGCGTTCTCCGGAACTGGGAGAAGTCCGTTATTATTTTCAGTGGGAAAATTATTTTCTAGTTTCACGTTTAGCTAAGAAAAATTAAATTCCTTTTTAGCATTAGAATCAGTAGAAAATTTTAATGATATGGATAAATGTCGTTATTATTGATGGATATAAAGTTTTTTAATGGCGAAACTAAACTAACACACTTTTGAGCACCAATAATCAAAAGACCGTCTTAAAAATTTTTCAGAACGCGGCCTCAGAACTTTTCTTTACGCATTTAGTTGAGATGCTCTCGTCCGCATTTCAAATGAAATCTAGAAGTTAATTATCGATGTATTTCTTGGTAAACTATATCTCACGATTTTTCCTTACTCGTTCTGTAAAAATCTCAGTTAAAAAGTTGACTGTTCGCATTTTTACTGTTAGGTTCCTCCAAATATGATATATGCTTAATAGAAGGCAGATGACATCTGCTAGAAAATTATCATTAAATTGCGGCAATTTATCATTAGTGCGATTCAATTCCTTCAGTATTTATTTGTCAGATGATTTAAACCTTCCAATAATTTCACCATTTTCAACTAATTGTGAAGCTGGACTAGTAATTTTTTCACACTCATATTGCACAAATTAAGTCAATAGTTATTTGTTTGGTTGTCGGTAGCTGACATGAGCGTTCGTAGGAATAATATTCCGGTATCTCAAATTCATTGCAAGTTGATTCCTGAGTTGAATAATGAAAAGATTAAAGTGCGCATGGAGGAGAAAGTTGCACAAATTTCCCTCGATGGCTGTCAGAGATTTTACATGCCACGCCCATGGATCAAGTAACATTACGATAAAGCTTCTTCAAACGAAAATTCCTGCTTCCGCTGTGGATTGTTTATTTAAATGAAAGAGAAACAAAATAATATTCGAATGCTAAAAAACTATTGAAGCCTTGTACTATTCTGATTGTTCCGATTGTATATTAAGGAAAGATGGAAATTCCGACCAGCCATTTAATTTCTATGCGATTTGGCTTGGAATTACATAGAGCAATGTTTGTGATCGAAGTCTGCTTCCCGCTGCATATTCGACATAAATTATGCATTAAAGTTTTATTTCCACGAATGGATTGTTCATTGATCCGATTGAATTAAATAAAAAAAAATTATAAAATTTTCAATAAGCCAGCTACCCACTTGTCTAAAAGCAATCCAGTAATTTTCAAAATGGACTACAATCAGCCGTTCAAGCCAGAACGGGAGATCAACTTAACAATTCGAAAGAATTTTCCTATCACACATCATTTTTCCTCTCTTTATTCTTAAAAAAGATTGCAGTTTTCCCCAGTGAAACTTAAATCTTAGTTCATTTTTTAGAAGCGGCGGAGCTTAAATCGTACGACGACTGCACGAACTTAAGGCGAGGACCGGAACAAACTGGCAGACCGAAGCTCCTGTTCCGCATGCCCGCACACGCTTCTATTGCGTTCTATGCTTTCCCGTTATATATTTTACATGGGCTCTGCCCGAGACTCAAGATGGCTATCTTGCTTGACGAGAGAAAACGAAGAGACGGAAAAGTTTTACTTATGTAGAGAAAATAATTGCTCGACTTGGACGGTATGAGAAAAGAGAATGACAGAGAATTGTGGCTTTCTCAATTCTGTTAATAACATAACTATTAATGTAGAAGCAACAGGAGACAAATCTAAGAGTATTAGACACTTGAGGAGTACTTTTGATGTGAGTTCACATATGCATAAGCATGACCATTAGACTGCAAGTATGAGACTATTGTGCATGAGAGTGAACTCGTCGGACGGTAACATGTGATTGCTTCACTGCACCATTCACAATATAGACATGAAGAAGAATTGTTTCTGAGATTTTAGCGTCTATATTGAGAAACTGTGATAGAAACTTTTATTTTATTTGTTTTTATAATGTTGCTTTCTTAATTATAATTAAAAATTACAATTTAGGTATAATAATAATTTGTTTGTTGTAAATTAACATTTCAAAAACATAAAATCCTTTCGTTCATTGATAAACATTTGTGCGTGCGCTACTGCTGATAACTCCCTCTCACCTGCGTACGTGGAGTGCATCCATATTGTCCAGCAATTGATTTAACTAAAACAATGAATACAAGGAACGACTTAAAAATGTTCGCAGAGCTGTGATGCAATGCATAATATGTGTAAGAATATGCATAATGTTGAGAAAAAATTGAGAAATACGATTACAAATTTCATTCCAATCGTTAACTTGAAAGTTATAAACTTTGCCAGTTATTTGTTTGGAATTACTTACATGTTTAAAAAATGCAAATAATTGTTAGGATAATATATCATAGGACCTGAATCACGTCAATTAAAACATAACAATTGAAGTAATTCTCGCGCTAATTAAAAACACTCAAAATACCCTTTTGTTGAACTTGTCATCATATATCATATAAACTCTAAATTTGAATCCCAAATTCAAGTCTCATCCAAAATCCTAGCATAACAAATTTAAGAGAAATTCAGGTTGTTATTAAGTTTTTCTATCTTTTTCGCAACATGCATATGTGTAAGGCTTTAATTAATGTCAGAGAAAGAACTGACATTAAATTCCCAAACTAATTGCTAGTCTCTTATTGCTCATACTAACCAGGCGCGCTGCCATGTCTCGACGTAGGCACGTTGTAGAGTCCAAGAGGTGCGGTCAGTTGTTGTAGCCTCTGAACCTAACAGAACACTGAGGCAATCACGAGCAGTAGTGAAGGTGTGTTACCCTCACGGTGGCTGAACACTGACAGAACCAAGCAACTCAGGGCAAACTCTACGAGCTCTGCCACCAGTCGTGGAGAAAGTAAAAGTTCTCTTCCTTAATAGTAACGATAGGCGGTCGAGGTGATGATGAAGAAGGAGGTAATCTGCCGGACATAGAACGACGCATAATTCAAGGCCTAATTAAAGATAGGTTGCAGATGCTGAAAATTTTATTTACGTTACACTATTTTTCACGGATCTCATAGCGCGATTTAAGCTTTTCATATTACCAGGGAGGAGTAATGGTGAAAAATGTCATATATCGGCCGTGAATCGTGGTGTAATTAACTGTCAGTAAAATGAATTGAAGGTTTGTCACATTATTGTCGTTTAGGTTTATTGTAAAATTTTTCGAATATAAAATTAGAATAAGCCTCCTAAATGAGATGCAAACTGAAAGACCGAGTAGCCCAGGCAGCGCTCATATGCTCTCCTTCCCCAGCTGCGATCGGCCGAACATTCTTATGACATTCTTTGACTCATTCGCAAAAAATGTTTCCGGCTGAAGATCTCGAGCTAGAGCTTTCATTGAGATCATTATTGCGGCAGACTAAAACCTTTCACTTGGCTACTCCAGATCACGTGAGATGTTACTAGCTAAAGCCACATGGAATCGATTAAATTATGCCGAATTGATTTTAAAGTCAAAGCACCTATATATTTATCTATGTGGTATACAAAAACCACCCGTGTAGAAATGAATCCAATTTCGTAGAGTGAAAATGGATTACACATACAAGGTTTCCAAAACGACGTGACACATAAATAGATTTTAAAGTTAACTTATAAACTACGCAATTATGTATTTCATACTTCGTCGTCTATTGAAATTGCGCTCTTCCAGCAAAAAAAATGTTACATTGATTTCAAGTAACTTCTTCCCAAAAATTCAACTGAAATTTTCTTCAAATAAATAATTAATGAAACTAAGCACGTCGATCGCTTACACGGAAAACAACTAATTGGATAAATTTAACAAATACAAATCTTTTGACTCAACCGCACTTGTTTGACAAATGAACCTCAGCCTCAGTATATCATAGTTAATATGCCAGAGTGAAGATATCAATGACTAAGTATTGGTCAAATACTCTGTCATTTATTCACAAGTTCATACATTTATAGTGCGCGTTGATATTTCAGTAAGCTTAATATTGCATTGAACATATTCAAATTTATCGACAAATGAATTGGTGCATAACTATATTGCTAAGTGTTACTCATTAAATACCCCCCATATAACATCTCATGCAAAGTTGAAAAATGTAATTATTGTTTTTGAGTAAAAGAGTTAGAGGTGTAAATAATGAGCGTCAGCTTGAGTCCTTTCACATATAATAAAAGACTGGCCTTATTTCAATTTAAATGCCTATTTACCATCGAAAGTAATTCGGAACAAGAGATGAGATGCTCGATCGAGAAATTTCGCGCCTTTTTTTGCGAAAATTTGTATTTATTTTAGCACGATATTCCTCCTAAATATGGCATTATGTTACGAGTGGTATAATATGCAGGGAAACTAAACTAGTTCAAAGAATAATCTTTTGTGACAAACAGTTGAAAATGAAACTAGTATCAAATAGTAATTCTGAAATTATTCCTTATATCACAATTTTCAAGTGTCACGTCATATAACGACATGTGACCAATATGAAATCTGTCATATAAATGAAAGCAAAAGACAAAAAAAAAAAAGAAAAGATGTCAGGAACATAATTAAACGTAATGAAATGAGGGCTAAACAAATGAATTGAATATCGAAAAAAACGGTCGGTGCATGAGCCCAAATGACTTATCAAGGACTGAATTACATACCTGATGGAAATAACTTTCTGCGGAAGATTTATTATATTATCAAACGTTAGAAAATAAAAATGTCACTGAAGAGACTGAGTGAGGAGTGGTTGACGTCAGGACAATTTTCGCATGCTTTGGTCTTGTATTCTGACAAATTTTTCAGGTTTTTGATCAACTTCAGCAAATATTTAGCGGACAGAAATTATTCGGCTGCTGAGCGTTTTTATGCAAGAGAATTGATGAGAAATTGTTTTCAATACCAAAAAGAGATCACAATATATTGGGTCTGTTATCGGCAAGCTGTAAGTGAGTCCAATGATTGATCAGGCCTTTATCCATTTTAACCTTATATGCCTTATTCATATTAAAAAATATATTGTATCATGCAGTCCGACTAGTGCTAGGTTTTATGAAATCAGTATATAGGTGCATTCTTTTTTCAATTCAAACACTTCTCTTCATCTTCGTATTAGGCGTAACGCGCTGTTGGACATAAAAAATCTTTGTACCAAAGAAGCTGACAAGTTGTATTCGTCAGACGAAACTAGTTTAAACTAATGTTATAAGAATTTAAAATCATGCCATGTTGGATCGTAGGCCAGGTAGCCAATGAAAGTCTATAAGTTTCGAAAATCACACGAAGCAATGTGCTTTACGTAGACCTACGAAAGCCACAGCCCGACCGCCCGCAGCCAGCCAGCCTGTCGACCTGCAGGTATTTCGGCCGGCGTAAGTTGAGGCAAAAACCCACGGTCTTCTGCGTACATGTCGCAAAAAGCGGACTGGATCAGTGGGCGCCTTTTCAGGTCGCTCGACCTCCCGGATGTTCATGCACCTTCTCTACATGCGTTTAGAAGAAAGTGCTTCGTTGATTGGCTGTTCAATGTTAATGCGACTAGGCTCTCCATCCTCAAATTTCAGCCGGCCATCGGAATGAGGACATCGAGACTCAACCGCCGGCGGCAACCGTGCAGACGGCTCAGCGCGTGCCTCGCGTTGCTGAAGGAGGAACGGTCGGATTTAACTAGCGGTCCTCATCGTGATACTCGTGAAAATGTCTCCGTAGCAAAATCATCTGAATAAGTCACTGTTTCATAATTCATGTAACCAATATTAACGTTAACTTGATTTGATCGGAAAACTTTGATAATGTAGACAGCAATAATTCAAATTTATCGTCTATTTTTATACTCGTACCATCAGACGTGATAAATGACTATGGCAGAACTTCCAATCTATTCTCCATGCTTGTGATAATCATTATAGAGCGTGATTGTGCCTTTTTATCCATTCCGCAATTATGCTTTCCTTTGCGATAACGATTTTTTTTTTGCTTGCGGAGGGCGATCATAACTAATGTTAATTTCAAATTCGCCCGGGCTGCAGTGACATTTTTAATGACCGTTGACTTGAATGGGTTAATTTTTTCAGCATTTTAATAGCACTGTCACTAAAATATTCCATTCTCAAGGCAAATTAAAAAATTTGTAAGCAGTATGAAGCCATTTAAGGAGTTAAGAGTTTCTATCCGTACATACTTGTAAACATCGGGTATTATTTTACTCTATAACAAGAAAATAATGAAATTTGGTCAAAATCTCTCTAATTATCTATAGTTTTATATAGTTTTATATAGTTTTATACTCGTAGAAAGCGCTTCCAAAATACATTTAGGATTAATGTAACTGAATTTAACAGGTATAGGCTTAGATATTTGATGCCCATAAAAGTTGCTCGTAATGAGCGCTACAGAAATAAATTACAATATATAAAATTGTTTTTACTTAACCGGTGTGCTTCTGTCGCTTCAATTCCGACCTTCATGCACAGAGAGAAAATTTCGGCCCCGAGGGCGTCTCAGGAAGTGAGACATTTAGTATGTGTTTCAACTTAACTCTCAACTATGAAGGAATTGCATTGCATCTTCTAATCATTAGTAAATTTGCCCATGAGAAATGCTTATAATACTTTTTATATATACAATTTTGTTAAAAATTATTTAAAAAATAAGCAAACCGAGTGAAAAACTCATTTTGAAGATACATTACGCACATCATGCTCTGGTTTTACCGGCGACTGTGAACATCTTGCAGGTATTACAAAAAATATTTCGACATTTCTACTTTTTATCACGTCTAACGTAGTCTGGACAAATCATCTTTACGTCCTTTGAGAACTTTTAACACATCTGAGTGACCATTTTCATCCTCATTTCATCAATAACGGTTGCTCTGCTTAATTTTTCTCAATGCACGTCTATTAATCCTTCTTCAATACAAAAAGTTGGCATAAAAGGATTCATTCTGCTACGTTTACTGTACTAGTATGACACTTTCTAAAAGCTAAGCGCAAATCAGTGAAATGATGATGTGATACCTGTAATTTCTACTGCCGTTCAAAGTGACACCTTAACCTGTTAATTACCAATCGACTGGATATAAATCAAAAGCGTGCGGTATGGCGGCAACGGATTGGTAAGGCTGGAGCACTTTTAAATTTTATGTTCCCCAGTGGTTTACGTTCTCTAGTTGATAGAAATATAGAAGTATTTCGATGTTCCATGTAAACAAGAACTGCGTGTTAAAATATTTCATAAAAAAATATGAAAAATAATAAAAAAATCTATTAGTAAACTGCACTGCAAATTGACAGAATTGTACAAATTTAATTGGTTCTCATGTGTGGCGGTGACTTCAATGATATTGTTCCCGACAGTCATGAGTTTCGCTCGAATTAAATAAGTTCTATGAGAGATTAGCATAATTTCTTAGTAGAAGACATTGTTAAAAAAACTTGGAATTGTCACCCGCGTTTGAAGTTCAGTGTTATTCGATACTGAAGTATTGGATATTCGTTAGTAAAGCGTTTCTCAGGCGGGAAGAGCATTTGTCTCTGCCAATTGATGTCTCATGATACCCCGGCTTGCATTGGATGTATTTGAAGTTGCTCGGCACTGCTCGTGCAGCTGTTGAATGAGACATGAACTAAACAACAATAAAATATCTCTAAACATGGTAAGAATTGTATCTCTTTAAGACCTGAATGTAATGATTTCGTGAGAAATATTTTCACATATTTATGATTTAAAAAAATATTTTCAAATATTTATGATTTGATGAGAAACATTTTCAAATATTTACGATTTCAAGAGAAATATAATCATGAAATTGTGTTCATATGACATTTTCACATAATTTATTTGAATGTTGC